GCTTTTCTAGCCTTTTTCTTCCAACTTCGTCAAATTCCTCCCATAACTAGTTCCAAAGACTTTTGAACCACAAAGTCATACATAGTCATTCATGATCTAATTTCTAAGTACTATTTTTTTTTGTGGTAGTTTTACACTGGTGTCACAAAACACCTGAGAAACAACATCATGGAGGAAGAAATATTTTAGGCTCAGGGGTTCAGTCTGCAGCTACTTGGTCTTAATTGTCTTTGGGCTGGTGTACAATAAGGCAGAACATCATGGCAGGGGCATGCATAGGATAGTGGCTCTTCTCATTTCAAATCAGAGACAGAGAGAAACAGGGACCAGAGTCAGGGACCAGATAAATTCTTTAAAGGTATGCACACGATGATCGATGTTCTCTTACTCCCAAGAGTCCATTCAATGATGAATTAATCAATGAATTAACCGAATGGTCAAGTTAATGAACTACTGAGCTAATCTCTTTAGGGAACTAGGCCTGCAAACACACAAAACTGTTTGTGTATTCAAAAACAATGTTTCACTGGCAATACAAAGACTTACATGTATTTTTATCTCAAGGAATTATTGTAGACAATTTCCCTCTTGGTGCTTGGTATTTTCCCTGCTTTTAGCAGTAATTTTTTAAAAAAAGATATGATTTTCTCTTTTGCTCTGAAAAAATACATCTAACAAAGAGGTAAATAACTAAACTTTCCTAAATATAAAAATAATTTTTTAATAATTTGTCCTTGAATAAGAAAATACATTGTTACCATTACATAATACATTGTTAAATACATTGTTACTTTTATATAATCAATTTTCATAATTCACTTATTAATCAACCTTTTATAGAAACTAGTATGAAGTTAGCTGCACTAGCATCTTTTATACTAGCAAAATTGTTCTTATATAATGTTTATATTAATGGTGAATTAGTTTGGACTATGTTGTAGTGGTTTGTAGTATTTATAAATACTTTTGTGTTTCAATAAGCCATATTTGGGTCATAATCAATTTTAGGTAACTAGGAATCTAACTAATTCAAGCAAGAAAAAAATGAATGTGTTTTAACAATAATGTGAAAATAAGAAAGCTAAGATATCAAAATCAATTATTTCTATAAAATGCGAAATAAGTATGAATAAAACTAAGTCATGATCGGCTTAGCCATGCCAGCATGGGAATCAGGCAGGCAAACTTCCATTCTCCTTTCCTGTCCTCCACTAACTCCACTGCTTGAAGAATCTGCAGATACTTACACGAAGACCCAGCTTTCCTCCTTCCTAGAAACTCTCTCATTTAGCTCCCTCCCTTCTAGCCCATCCCAATTCCTTCCTGTCAACCCCTAATAACTAGAAACATGTGTTTCTCTGTACCCACAGTGCCACACCAGGCAGAGACTCAAAAGTACTCCCTACTGGGCAATCCACAGCCATCATGCTCCAAGATTTAGAGAACAAAAACCAAGGAAGGGAACTGTCATTCGACAGAGATAAGACCACATAACAACATCTTGAGTTACAATCAGCTCAAACCCAGATGCAGAGACACCAGTGTAAAACTACAAACAATAACAGCTGGGACAATACCATTCACAAGAACCCAGCAACGCTACTACAGTAGAAATGTAACATAGCTTAAGCAAGTACAAGACAAGGACTTCAATGAATGAATGGATAAGGAAAATGTGGTACATTTACACACAGCAGCAAAAACTAATGACATCTTGAAATTTGGAGGCAAATGGATGGATCTAGAAAACATCATATTGAGTGAGGTAACCCAGACCCAGAAAGACAAATATTATATGTACCTTTAAAACATATGTACTCTTAAAACATGTCTACAATACTCCAGTGGCCAATTTACTCAGGTTCCACCAAGGGATTTTTAAAATCCCCCCGTAACACACTCTCTCTCTCTCTCTCTCTCTCTCTCTCTCTCTCTCACGCACACGCACTCGCAAAATGAATATACAGTGTAACTGCTCTTTTAGTCTTTGATCTCTATCTGGATTGTATCCACCACTGATACAAGTTAATCAGAGGTTAAGTTGGAAGGGAGTAAGCCTTAAAAGGTTTCTAGTTCACCTATAGCTAAAAAACAGTGCTAATGAAAATTTAACATATTTACTGTTAGAACTCATTAGGCAAGATTTCTTTTGTAGGCAAGATTTTACCAAAATAAATTATAAAGAAGAAAACAAATATCCAAAGATCCCTAGAACATGACTGTTGTCAACAACATTCTCTGTAGAGGATCTCGCCTTAGTGGAGGCACAATAAACATTTATTAGATCAAGCTTTTTCTGGACCATCAAGGAATGATTCAAGAATGCAAATATGTTTCAGGTTCGAATATAGTGAAAGTTTTTTATTTGCACATTGGCTATCTATTGGTGTACCCATATAATAGAGGGAGTGAGATAATCCTCGGAGTGCAACCAAAGACGCAAGAAAGTAAGGTATTCTATCATGCAAGTATTTCTAAAGGTTTGGAAAAAAAACCCCACAAAAACCAAAAAACCAGGAAGAAAGAAGCAGAGTCTACCTGGCTTTTAGCTCATAACTCGTTAGTATTCCAAATTTTAGGGTTAAGGCATGAGCCATTATACTTATCCATAAATGTAGAGTTCAAGTAAATTCAGGCCAGTTAACCTATCCCTTCTATCATTGATTTAATTATACATTTAATACAATCTTACTCGAATCATTTTAAAAGCCAAGACTGTGCCGGGCAGCAGTGATGCACACCTTTAATTCCAGCACTACACGAGGCAGAGAGAGGTGGATCTCTGTGAATACAAGCCCAGTCTATTCTACAAGAGCTAGTTCCAGGACGGCCGGGACTGTCACACAGAGAAACCCTGTCTCAAAAAAACAAATAAATAAACAAAAATTCTTGGAAACTTTGTGTATAGTCCATATCATAACAAATTCACAAAGACAATAAAAACATAAAAATATTTTCCTTTTATGAGACTTGTATTTTTCATGTTACCCTTAAGATAATTTTGTGCTCAATATTAGATGAACTAATGTCAATTTGTTTATCAACAAACTACAAGAAACACAAATTAAGATAGGAATGAAGTAAAAATATGCTTACAAACATTCACATTATGTTATTTATCATTCAGCATAATCTGTAAATCTGGTACTAATGAGACTCAAGATTGAAATGGCTGAGGAATGCGTTTAGTGAATTATTGCCAATCAATGCCTCTGTTCCAGGATAAATGTAATCCTGAATGGCAATATACTTATTATTACAAATTTCTAAGTACGGTACTTCATTATTTCAAAATGTCAATTTATAGAGTAACATTACATATATCTTTCTACCATATACCTGGCTATCTTTCCTTCAAAGTACAGCACACTGATGATACAGAAAAATTACAACCTGAATATTTTTGTGGGAATAAAAGAAACCCAATAAGCATTAAAGAGCTAAACCAGTAGCTAAAGATGTGGCTCATTTGGTAAATCACAAGTGTAGCATACTTATAATGCAGCACTTAGGAGATGGAGGAGGAGTAATATAAGCGCTAGATCATCCTTGGCTACATTTGCCAAAGACACATGGGGTCCTGTCTCAATGGAGGCCTGAGACACATGAGGGCTGGGGAGATCCTGTTTCAGAAAACAGAACAGAAGAGAGCAAAACTAGTCAGAGCACTCTGTTAATCTATTCCGGGGAGGGGGGGGGTGACACCATAATCAAACACTGCTTTTTCAAGATAACTGTTTCATGTAAATTCTTCCAAACGTTCACTTACATAATCAATTAACAAACATCTATTGAGTACTGAATTTATCCTAGGTACAAAGAGATGACCCCTACTTATAAAACAAACAAACATAACTGGGCCCGGTGTGGTGGCACACACCTTTAAGCCCAAACCTGGGAGGCAGAAGCAGGCAGATCTCTGTGAGTTCTAGGTCAGCCTGGTGTACAGAGTGAGTTAAAGATCAGCCTGGTCTATTAGTGAGTTCCAATTCAGCCTGGTCTACATCGCGAGTTCCAGGAAACCAAGGCTATATAGGAAGATCTCATCTCAAAACAAATAAACACTCAAACAAAACAGAATAAATTGCTCCCCCACCCCAAACCAAAGCAAAATAAACAAAAACAATCCCAGTTTACTGAGTGGAAGACAGAAATAAATAAACAAAGCAAAATCCACTAGCACAGTGTACTAGTATAGGCTTACAGAAAACAAAAATTAAAAATACAAAAATAAAAAAGATACAAAAATACAAAAAAATACAAAAAAAGATACAAAAATTAAAGCATAAGTTTACAAATACCCATAAGCATAGCACTTCAAATTAACAAATGTTAATATCTGCTTCATTTTTTAATGGATCTCTTTTCTAAATTCAGACATTTCTTGATTAACCAAGTGTTAATGATTAAAGAATTGCTAAAACATCTAATGGCTAGATGACCTGGGTGAATTTGCTTAACTCTCCCCCTAAGTTTTCTCATTAAAAATAATCACCCTCACCTAGGCTGGACTGTCTTGTATTTGACCCTCAGTTTCCATGTTCTACAAAGCTTTTGATTGGACTGGATCAATGGTGCCAACAGGAAACCATAGTAATGAGGGAAAATGAAACTATTTCTTTATATACTCCATATCAAATCCTAAAGTTGGCAATACGTCTATCAAAACCAGTCCTCAGCATAGGGCCTCCTACAAAGCCTATATAGAAAGGAATGATAGAAATCTATATAGTAAGCAGAATTTTCTGGACCAAGGTTTTCAAACAAAACACTGAATTATTTTCTGGCAAAGTGAAATGTCTAGCACCCTAAATCTAGTAAAATGTAAATGATTCATAAATTTAAATAAATCTTTAGAACTTGAAGTCATGATGACATTGGCAAATCTAGAATGGCATATTTACATTCTTACCTATCTAGCAGTCATGATACAGTCACTCATCACCACTGACAAATCAGCACATCAAAACATGAAAACTCTACTTCACCTCTTATCTTACCTCATCCCTTATGTCTTCCTGTTGTTGAGCTGAGAATATCTCCATTGCAGCCATGAGTCTCATCATTAACTCATCCACAGTTGTATTACCTAATGAGATGTAAAGGAGTCAAAGTTTTGTGTAAAATGTATATAACTCCAAGTTATTAAAATTATTAGAAATGAAAAGCTATAACAATAAAGAAATTATCAGCATTAGAAATTACAGAATGGCTGGGCGGTGGTGGCGCAAGCCTTTAATGCCAGCACTTGGGAGACAGAGGCAGGCGGATCTCTGTGAGTTCGAGGCCAACCTGGTCTACAAGAGCTAGTTCCAGGACAGGCTCCAAAAGCTACAGAGAAACCATGTCTTGAAAAACCAAAAATAAAATAAAATAAAATAAAAATACAGACTGGAGTCGGGCAGTGGGGGCACACACCTTTAATCCCAGCACTTGGGAGGCAGAGGCAGGTGCATCTCTGTGATTTCGAGACCAGCCTGATCTACAGAGAAACCCTGCCTCGAAAAACCAAAACAGAAAGAAGAAAAAAAAAAAACTGACAGACTAGAATGCTAGTATTAACAATACTTTCATATGCTGAGCAGTGGTGGCCCATATCATTAGTCCCAGCACTCAGGAAGCAGATGCAGGTTGATTTCTGAGTTTGAGGCCAGCCTGACCTACATAGTGAGTTCCAGGACAGCCTGGTCTACATAACAAGTTCCAGGAGAGCCAGGATTACACAAAGATACTGTGTCTGGAAAAACGAAAACCAATCAACCAACCAACCAACCAACCAAACCACCACCACCACCACCAAAAAATCTTTCATATGTTCAATAAGTAACAGTAAAGTAACACTGTGGCAGTTGCAATGTTAGAAAAACCATATTTAATTAGCAATTTTTAGCACCAGAAAGAAGAATGTCCAAAGCTGTGAAGCTCAAAGGCCCTTTCCATTTATAAACTCAATGGCAGTCATAACACTAGTCACAGCCACCAACTGCTCACTTGTCTATGACTAGGCTAAATTGTTTTGTTTTCACCTCAATTAATCTGCACAACAATTCTATGAAGTAGATAGTACAATTCAGATTTTCAAGAGAAGGAAAACCAGCTTTAAAGGGCTCAAGAAATCCACCCAAACACGATCAAGGCAACAATAACAGGGTCAGGACTTGAACCAGGTTAGTCTAATTCAGGAGCCAGTCCTTATTCCCATGCCCTGCATTTCTTCCTGTCCTGGGTACATTCCCCTCGCTTGGTAATGTGGAACTGGAGACTGACATTCTATACAACCACTAAGCTATGTTCTCAATCCTCAAAGCCTGCTTCCCTCCAGTCATTGTCTATACTTGGAATCACTGTTAAAAATTTCTCTGGCAAAACAAACAGGAATTTAATGTTTGAAAAAATATTTTCCTCAATTAAAATTTTCCCTTTGTATGCTTTCTTTTATTTTTTTGGTACCCTTTCTTTCTTTCTTTCTTTCTTTCTTTCTTTCTTTCTGATTTCTGTCTCTTCCCCGCCATCGCCTCCCATTTCCCTCCCCCTCCCCCAATCAAGTCCCCCTCCCTCGTCAGCCCAAAGAGCAATCAGGGTTCCCTGCCCTGTGGGAAGTCCAAGGACCACCCACCTCCATCCAGGTCTAGTAAGGTGAGCATCCAAACTGCTAGGCTCCCACAAAGCCAGTACGTGCAGTAGGATCAAAAACCCATTGCCATTGTTCTTGAGATCTCAGTAGTCCTCATTGTCTGCTATGTTCAGCTTTCAAATGAAAGATTACATTATGATCTTTATAAGGAGGGGTTTAAAAGATGCTTGATTTTTCCTTAATGTTATTTTACTCCTTAAATCTAAAAGAAACATAACATGTTTAAATAACACCTCCTAAATACCTAAAATTTTGCTTTGGGCGACCTACAATAGAGAAATTTATGAGAATATAAGAGTGAGATTTCTCTCCTCTCAAACCTTTAGGAAGAAAGACAGTTGGCACCCAATGTGGTGCAATTACATCCACATAAAACCAGAGAGAGCTTCGAAAGGAATTCTAGACACAAAAGAACAGAGTTCAGTGCAGCTTCTTGGTAGCTGCATTTTTTTTCCCCAAATGGGCTCTGTTTGCTGGCAGTGAGCAGGAGCACCATGGCTCCATTAAGATAGGTCTTCCTGGCCCAGCACTGAGAGTGAAGGCTGCATGGCTTCTATAGGAGGAGGGTTTCCTGGTTTGCACAAGTTGCACAAACAGCTCTAGCTCTTTCAGGATGCTGAGAACTTAAATGGGGTCTGTGAGAAGCATATTACATAGACCCACTGTGACCCCGGAGCTGGGTCAGCACGCATAGCACTCAGAGGCAATGAACATGCCTCTGCCACATTGAACTGGGCAGAATCAACAGACAGGGCTGCAGAGTTTGTCCTAGCCACGCCCACTTAGCATTAAAAAAGAAGCACTCCTGGTTAAAAAAAAATTAGATGCTCATGCAATAAAGACAAATTCAGATGGAAAAGACCTCTAAGTGGGTCACAGTGTTAGATAAATGTAAATAGCCTTGGGAGAGAGAAGGAAAAGAGCATAGAAAGGTATAGAAAGAAGTAAATCATGAGAAAAAAATAAAACAAAGTCTTTAAAGAAACAGAGTAAAGACAGTCATAGGTTAAAGGAGTAAAGAAAAATAAGCCATGTAAAGATGAAAAATACAGAGGGTCTGGATTACGTATATTATTATGTTTTCTTTGAATTTTTTGATTGTGAATGAGCTAAGTACAGAGAGACATTTCATTGTACAGACTGCTAAGCTAAATCAACATATATACTTTAAAGATATCTGGACTTAAGAATTTGGGCATAAAGATATGTTGCTTTGGTAAAGAAGTTCTGCTTTTATTTCCACAGAGGATGACAACCTGTGGATTCCTTCTAGACTAATGTGGTTTGATGGACCAACACCCCTCAAAAGGTCTCCATGAACTCCTAAAAATACTTTACCCAACAAAAGGAAGGAAGCAGTTTGGAGAGAACTACACCCAAATTTCCAAATATTGTTTATAAATCTTTGTTTTCATTTAAAGGGGGATATGATATAGAGATGAATACTTTTCATTGGTATGGATCTTGGTCTATTGATACAAATTTAAGGTAAATTTTGTTTTATAAATATATATATATATTTGCTCTTGATTAATATATTGTCTTTGTGTAGCTCATTTAAAAATGTAATGTATAATTAAGAAATACAGGTTAATAGATAGTTATCTATAATAGTCAAGCTTATGGTCATGTTAGTTAGCTTTTCAAGATGTACAAAGATAAATTTCAGATAGATAGGTATTCTTCAAACCTTTCAAAGACTAGCAGATATGGTATTTAAAATGTTTTAAGAACTTAGGACTTTTCATGACAATGAGACACATCTGCTCCTGGCAGCACCAGTCTACTATATGAGGATGATGGGCATCAAAGAGGCTCATCATAAAGTTTGTTAGTCACTAGGCAAGAAACTGCTCTTGGCTGAACTGCTTGATGGTATGCTATATGAACTGGACATGCAGGGCCCACAGAAAAATGACTGCTGAACTTGCCTAAAGGTGAGACAGTCCTTCAGGGTACCTGTTTCATAAAAGAGTCTGCCAGACATTCTGCAGGACACAGAAGAAAGTGACTGACAAGCTGCCAATAGAGGCCAAACAGTCTTTCAAATTTGAAAAAGTGTCAGATACTATGGGCCTGCAGGCTGAAGATGGATGCCCCAACTTTACAGAATTTTGGGTGACTCTTTAGGCAAAGAGATGTCTCTGTCAATTTCTAGACATTTGGAAGTTGCTTACAAAGCACTTCCTGCTAACTTAGGGAATATTATATCCTTCTGGGGTCTTTAATAGAGTTAAAGAATAGACAGTTACAATTAGTTTTCCTTAGTTATGATAAAAGATAAAAAGATAAAAATTTTATAACTGTAATTCTTGCTTGATACCTGTTTTGTTATATGTAATTTTACTACGTTAGAGTTATAGCCTTATTTTTTTTAGACAGAAAAGGGAGGTGATATAATTCCCCTCTGTATGCTGTGAATGTGTTTTGCTATCATTGGTTAATAAAGAAACTGCTTTGGCCTATGGCAGGGCAGAACAGAACTAGGCAGGAAAACTTAACTGAATGTTGGGAGAAAGAAGGCAGAGTCAGAGAGAAGCCATGTACCTGTCGAAGGAGAAAGATGTTTGCAGGTACCTTGCCGGTAGACCATGCATAGATTAGAAGAGATGGGTTAATTTAAGATAAAAAAGCTAGCTAGAAGTATGCATAAACTTATAGGTCAAAGAGTATTGTACTCAATACAGTTTTTGTGTGATTATTTAAGGTCTGGGTTGCAGGGAAATGAATGAGCATCCTCCATCAACAAACAGTTTCTCCCAGGCCTGTGATGTCTTCATGTCACATTAATAAAATGACATCAGGATGACAGAGAACAAGCACCCTTGATAGTGTTTTTTTAGCATATAAAAGATATGGCTAATAAGATTTTTCAACGGCCTTTATCCCAATTTCTATGAATTAGGGAGCTTCTGTGGTACCCAGCTCATAGTTTGTTCTCTCAAACAAGCTACAGGATACAGGCTATCTGGGCACTCAGAAAACAGAATTGGCCTTGTACTACGAGCTGCACTAAAAGTTTGCTACTCACAACCTATTTGATCTAGCTCGTAAAAACTGACTAGCTTATAACAAAGGCTTCATAAGTATCTGCTTGATAAGAAAATGGAGGAGCCAGAATGATGGCTCAGTCAGTGATTAAGAGAACTTGCTGTTTTTCCAGATGACCTAGGCTTAACTCCCAGAACCCACATGGCAGTTCCCAACAGTCTGTAACTCCAGTTTCAGGGGACTCTGCCACATGCTTCTAGTCATTAGGAAAGGAGGGACACATGTGACGCACAGATATACATGTGCTCATACACATAAAATAAAAACTAAATTTTTAAAAAAAGAATGAATTAAAAAATGAGTAGGTTATAGCTAAGGACCAATTTTCTTACTCTCAAAAGGAAGGCAATATTCCCGTGCAAGGGTTTTTGGAGTAGCAGAGACAATGTATCACCTGCCTGGTACACAGTATACAGTCATTGGTAGTTATTACTAATAGATATAACAAAGAGCAAAAAATAAAGCTCTGAATACTCGGTAGATATTGTTATTGGACAAGATTGAGTTTCCATATCTCCTTTGAAGTAACAGTGGCTAGGAGTCTAAGGAAGAGAAGAGTACTTTTTGGCACGCACTGGTAGTGGTCTGAATGAGAACTATCTCTATAGGCCCACGTGTTTGAAAACTCGGTTACCAGCTGGTGGTGCTGTAAACAGGGGTTATGGAACTTTTAGGATGTGAAGCCTTGATGAAGCAAGTATGTCCAAGGGGCATGCTTTGGGAGTTTATAACTTTGACCCTCTTCCAGTCTGCTCTGTTTTATGTGTGATCATATTTTATCAGCCAGTTTGCTAAGCTGAATGCCTGCTGCCATGTCTTCTTCATTATTATGGACTTCCCTCTGGAACCATAGGCCGAAATATTCAAATTATAAGTGAGAAAATACTATAGTTTTATGAGTGCTAACATATATCAATGTTCAGGCTTAAGCTATTGCTCACTCACCATGTTCAGCTCTAACAGAGACCCACTGATAAACTGAGCTTATATTATAGGTATTTCATACCTGAGTCTTTAATAAGGTCAGAGACTGAAAAGGGCACCAGTAATTGCAGTTTAGGGAAAATTGATACCCTATAGTATCAGTTCCCAAACTTGGACTCAGGAGCCTTTGTACTCTTATTCAAATTCTCAAAATAATGTTAGTTTATGTGTGTTATAGCTATTCTGTTGCTGTAATAAAATACCATGACCAAAAGTAACCTTGAGTTTAATTTTGACTTACAGTTTCAGAGGCATGGAGTCCATTATGCCAAGAAAGCATGGCATGGCAGCAGAGGTGGGAAGGCGTGGCCCAGAGGCAGAGCAGGCTGATAATATCACACAAGATATTAAAAGCAAATGAGAGTGGAGAAAGGCTTTATACTCTCAAAGTCTGCTCCAATGACACACTTACTCCATCAAGGCCATGCCCCTTTAGGGCTCTATAGCCTCCTCAAACAGTACCAACTGGACACCATCTTCCAGCACCTGAACCTGTGAGAGGCAGTTTTCACTCAAACTTTCTTAGAAACTTTAAAAAAGGGGACAAGCAAAATGGTCCAGTTGGTAAGGTGCTAGTGCCATGCCAGATAACTTGAGTTCAGCCCATAAAACCTATATCGTGAAGAACAACAAATAAATGAAATACAAAACTTAAGAAAGAAATTAAAAGAAAAACATCTAAAACAAAGTAACAGTGCCCATTATAAACTAAAACAAATGTTATATATTTATTTTTTTAAAGAAACATTCTATAAGAAAAGGCTAGTGAGAAGAGTGGCATGCTTGTAACTCGCTCTGTACTATCTGGCTCAACAGAACATAAGTATAGCTTTATATCTATTTCTATATGAAACTGGTGAAAATGTGCTGTATTGGTTGAAATTTATGAAGAATATGTGACTTTCTGCAGATATGTAGTCAGAAAATGAAGAAATCCTTTAACAGGCATTTGCAGTTACAATTCTTTGCTACTATACTCAATTGACAAGAGAAGGTTCTTCAAATTAGAAGCATGTAGAACTTGAAAGTATCAAAAGTGGGAGCCTAGCCTGTTTGGATGCTCACCTTCCTAGACCTAGATGGAGAGGGGAGAATCTTGGACTTCCCACAGGGCAGGGAACCTTGACTGCTCTTTGGACTGGAGAGGAAGGGGGAGGTGAGTGGGGTGTGGGAAGTGGGGGGAGGGGGATGGAAGAGGGAGAAGGGGAGGAGGCGGAAATTTTTAATAAAAAAATAAATTAAAAAATAAACTTTTTCCTCACATAATACAGCAAAAAAGCTACACTTTTGTACTTTGTTACACTACAATCTGTTTCAGTTTTCCCCTCAGAACTCCACTGCCTTTCTATATTATTCATGCTGACCTCAAACTCTTGATCTGCCAGCCTCTGCCACTACAATAGCTGAGATTCTAGGTGTACCCTACAGTACCCAGTCCATCATCTCTGAAATGATCTTTGTTTTCCATGTATAGTTTTATTCCATTATGAATCCACGCCTTTGGAACACATTACTTCATTAATTTATGCATTTCTTCTGAATGTTGATACATTATATGTTATATTATAATTCATATATATTATATGAATGTTGATGTATTATATAATATAAAAAGTCACATTTGTTAACATCACTACTAATGTTATCAGAAATTATTTATGCTGTCAGTCTTCTAGTAGATATAATTTTTTTTTTTTTGGAAACTCAAATTTTCCCACTGGCAACAAATATATCCAGTTATTTTACTTGAAAGTGACAGACTCATTTTGTTTATTTAATAGAAAATGTTTAACAAATGCCCAATCTATATAAGCATTTGTCTGTCAGGCAGTAAAAATGATTTCAGGGAAAGTGGGGAGAAGCAACTAGCTTAGCTCAATAATCCACACAAATGCTTCTCTTTGAGACAACTAGAGTATATTGGTTCATATCACCTAACAAAAGGGCTAAAATTCTAAAAAAGAAATGTTTTCTTCTTCAAGGATATTGCTAAGGAGTCTTTTCCTTTCTCCTTGTAAGTGCATGGTAAAGAAGGCCGTGACTAACATGATGATTCATGTCAGACCTGATTCACACTGAGACGTTAACAGCTTTAGAAATCTTTGCTTTTGAGTCACCAGTATAAGTGTTAACTTAGCAAAAAGGGCAAAACACAACTAATCTACAAAAAAACACAAAGTAAAACAAAATCCCCATCCATTATAATAATGACAGCAATTGTGACCTTGCGGATTTCCTGAAACCTGGGCTTCTGGAACCCATGGCCTACAGGTTGCAAAATACAAGCAATCACAATTTCTTTCCTCTGATGAAGAAAACTGGAAAGAAATGTCTTCACTTTCTACCCACCCCATGGGAATCAGCTCCCTCAGCAGGCCTTTTCAAAAGACTGCCCAGAAAACTGCGCTCTGGAAACTAAATGCTCTGGTTAGAGAAAACAAAATACCTGAGCTTTTGTTTTGTTTAGGCTTTGAAGGCGCTGGAATGCACAAATCCCCCTCCCCTATCAGACTTAAATGGGGCAGAAATGAAGTACCCCAGACTCAAGCTTTAGCTTGGAGCACTTGAACAATCTTTTTCCTGGCAGCACCAGGAAAAACAAAACAAAACAAAACAAAACAAAAAAACAGCGGAGAGGATGGACTGTTTTTATTTAAGATTCCCCATGAACACAATAGTTTTTTTACTTTAGCTTTTGTATTAGCAAGAACAACAAAACCATTCTTTCATCTTTTTTTTTTTTTTTTTTTAGAAACAATGTAAAGTATGGTTCCATTTACAGTAAAATGTAAACTATGGTTGAATTTATAGGAACTCCAAGCTGTTTGCCTCAGGGTTGCATCTTAGGATGAAGTCACACAAATAAGGAGGGACAACTGACACGTGAAAAATTCAATTTGCAATGTATAGTCACTGGATTTTCTAGATAATTAAAGATAAGCAATTCTTTCAACATTGCAGCTATAAATCAACAGAAATAAATGTCACATTTGACAAATGATTATACCCTAATTGCTAGTTTTAGAGAATTAAGCATTTCTGAACATTAACTTGACTATTCTATGTCCAAAGAGCTATGCAATTTTATCGATGCATTTCTAATAGGTTTTTAAACACAGCATATTTGATTTTTTTTCATAGTAACTGAAGATACTCTTCAGGATGTTTTATATTTTAAAATGCAAGACATTTATTAATAGTAAGAAATATAGTCATCTCTGATGGGAAAATGATAAGGTTATCACATAGATAAAACTTTACTCCCACCGTGACATGTACTTTACCTTGTATCACATTTAACACTTCATTAGATGACCGCTTTCCCATGATAATCAGGAAAAGTGGAAACTGATCTGTTTTTTGAGTCCGAATGGTCTGTGCAATAACACTGCCAAAGTGTCTGTTGCACATCGTCAGAAATCTGAAACAAAACAAAACCAAATAAGTTTCAAACAAATCAGTACATCTGAGATGCCATTAATAATCATGTAAAGATTAGGTAGCTTGACTTACATCAGGATGGCAAATTTTACTATGTTGAGTTTTGACTAAATCTTTAGTGGTATAGAAAAGAAGGAAGCGCATGCTAATTGCTGTCAGGGATGACAGCATGGGTTCTTAAGTTTCAAATATTTTAAGATATACTACCTAAATCCTGAGAAAACAAAAAAAAATTTCAGGAAAGAATTTCTTAACTAGAATAAATAATAAAGTGTGGTAAACAGGTAAACCAACTAGCATCATTTAAAACTAGAGTTAGCAACATTTTCCTAAGTCCTTAGGATCAAGTGCTAGGTGGGATCATGTCTCCTCTAGAAGTAGTAGGTCTTCTAGTTTGTACTTAGTGGGGAACAAAAACAGAAATTCTAAGCTTTTGGCCAAAAAAGCTCAGAGATATTAGCATACCGAAGTCTAGCATTAGTATTCTTAACACGATCTGGAATAAATGAAAAAACTGATAAAGCTTTTCTCTTCTATTAGAGGACTGTTTGAAATTAGCATTTCTTTCAAGAGAAAAGGGTAGCTTATGATATGTTTTCAGATCTGATGGTAAAAAGTAAATGTCATAATAATAATGAATTATGAAAGACCAAATGCAAATATAGAATGCTTTAATAAGATCCAATTTAATAAAGTCTGTAAAAATAATGGACTTTTAATAACACAGGTCACAAAAGGCAAAACAGTGGAAATTCTGGAGACTAGCCACTGGTAGTAGCTTATTAATTCTTAATTATGTTCATGAAAGGCAACTTAAATCGTGTGTTTTCTTATGCCTTATGATAATATTTTAGGTAACAACTCCTCTGAAATGTATGTTCTAGCTGATGAGCAAAGTCCTGTCATCACATGCATTAGAAGGTAAATCTATTTGAAAAGACAAACGGTATTAAAATGTCATGTGCTCAGATTCATTTGATAACCAATTCAAAACAGAATCAAACCTCTTAATTTTTAAAGCCAATACATTTTCTGTCAATAGAAATTCATTTCAGAAATTTAGGCTGGATCTTTTGTAAAATCCGTGCTGTGACTACAGAAAGTAGATCTTGTTGAGGGCAACTAGAACTGTCAGCCAGAGTGTCAAGACAAGTTAGCACCACTGCAGTAAGTTCACTGGGAGGCAGGTTCATATACACGTTTAGTGCAGCAATAACCAGGCAATTTGAAATGACAAGGCCTTAAGAAATCCATTGTCGGCCAAGAAATATCAGTGCCCCCATGAAAATTCAAATCTTCACATTCCACAACTATTATGGGATAAAAGGTTCTCAAGCAGACTCAGCTTCCATACCAAATTTCACACTCATAAAGGTCGAACTCATCAACAGGGATGTGTAGAGTAGGAGACTAGCAAGTTAGGGTCTCAGTTTTCTTTCTGTGTCTTACTAAAATATTTGAAGGCAGACTTGACCCTGAGCTGATCATTGGCAACCTCTAAAATTAAAGATGTCAAAAAACAGTTGGAATGCTATTTCCTACCAAAGGGAGAAAATAATTCCTTGTTGCTTTCACACCAACGGATTGCGTGGCTATCACACAGTAGGTGCCATCACAGCACCAGCCTCACTACTAAACAGGATGCTCCCCAGCCCTTGAGAGGAAAGAGAAAAGAAAGAAGAAACGGAGTAAGCCACTGAAGGGGCAGAAAGGAGGATACAAAAAGTGAGAAGGAGACATGAAGGAGGCAAATGGTTGGGAGGGAGAAGGGAAGGGAAAAGGTAGGAAGGAAGCCAAGATCACATTAGCCAAATTCATCTAGAACCAGAAAAATGAACATGGAAAAACAAACTGTTTTAAGAAAAGGTATCTTATTTCTGTAATATTAAAAAAAATATTTGTGGTATTTTGTTCCCTTTGAACAGAACCTGGTGGGGAGGGCTAAAATTGTCCACACAGCTGCATCTTACTCTCCTTCTTCAGTCATATGTCATGGAGGAGTGAATAAATGGTTGCTACCACCATTAGATTCCAGTAATTTCCACCTCAAAGAGGGAAACAATAACCGTCTTCTTTCCTGTTATAACTGCTGAGGACACTTAAGGACCAATGACCACTGTTTTATCTGAAGAAGGGTCAGAGAGGTGGCTCAGTGGGAAAGGGCACTTGCTATGGAAGCATGGGCACCCGAGTATAGATCCCCATCATCCATGATGAAAAAAGGAAAGTCAGGGTGGCCACACATCAGTGACCTCAGCACTAAGCAGGTGGAGACTAGAGGACTGACAGGGCTTCCTGTCCTCGAGATTAGATCCAGGGTCAGCGAGAGACCCTGTTTTAATGGAATAAGGCAAGGGTTGATTAAGCAAGACACCAAGATCCTCTTCACACACACACACACACGCGCACGCACACACGCACGTACGCACACAGACACACACCTCTCCAAAATAAAGTAAGAAGAAAGATGCCAAATCAACTCACTGAAACCAAAACCTAAAACAACAAAATTGGAAAGACAAAAGGTGATAACATCTATGGGGGCAAAATAAAGAAATAAGAGCTAGAAGACAGAGGGACAGGCTGAGAAAATGATGAAAGTTGCCATCAAGTGTACTTTATATCTACTAAGTCTACTAGAATTGCTAGAAAACTTAAGAGAGGGAAGATGAGTCAAAAGCTTTCAATTTCAAGTTTGGAAAGAAAAACAAGCAGAATGGCAGATGGTTAGCATTTACTAACTATTAAATTTCAGTAGATAAGGTGTAGATCTCTATCTTGTCAATGCAAATCAGGATTGATTTAATTCAGAGTGTGAATTACTTTAACTTCTTTCAATCAAAGTCATAATTACAATATTCACTGATATTATAAAACTGTACTCCATTACAGGGAACCTAGCTATTTAGTGGGAGAGAGATGAAAAACCTACACTCTCTTCCTTAATTTTTTTCGAGACAGGTTTTTTTTAAAAATTTATTTATTTATTAAGGATTTCTGCCTCCTCCCCGCAACCGCTTCCCATTTCCCTCCCCCTCCCCCGATCAAGTCCCCCTCCCTCATCTGCTCGAAGAGCATCCAAACTGCCTAGGCTCCCCCAAAGCCAGTATGTGCAGTAGGATCAAAAACCCACTGCGATTGTTCTTGAGTTCTCAGTATTCCTCATTGTCCGCTATGTTCAGCTAGTCCGGATTTATCCCATGCTTTTTCAGACCTAGGCCAGCAGGCCTTGGTGAGTTCCCGATAGAACCTCCCCATTGTCTCAGCGTGTGGGTGCACCCCTCGTGGTCCTGAGTTCCTTGCTCGTGCTCCGAAGAATGGATGAAGAAAGTATGGAATATATACATATTAGAGTATTACTCAGCAGTAAAAAACAAGGACTTCTTGAATTTTGCATACAAATGGATGGAAATAGAAAACACTATCCTGAGTGAGGTAAGCCAGACCCAAAAAGAGGAACATGGGATGTACTCACTCATATTTGGTTTCTAGCCATAAATAAAGGACATTGAGCTTATAATTCATGTTCCTAGAGAAGCTAAATAAGAAGGTGAATCCAAAAGCAAAACACATAGGCATCCTCATGAATATTAACCTTCATCAGGCGATGAAAGGAGACAGAGACCCACATGGGAGCACCGGACAGAAATCTCAAGGTCCAAATCAGGAGCAGAAGGAGATCGAGACAGGTTTTTATGCCGCCTAGGCTGCTCCTGATCCTTCCACATCCACCTTGCAAGGGCTGGGATTTCAAGTGTGTGCCACCACACTTGGCTCAAGGAGATTAAAGTCTGTAAACTTACTTTTTACCTAGTATGTATGACAGGTACTATTTTTGATTAAAATAAAATGGAGGTTAAAAAAAAAAACCTGACACTATCCTATTTAAGGTGACCATAATTCTTCAACGTGATTTCCATAAGTTTAAAGGTGACTCCAACATAAAGTAAAGGGAACCTATCTTTCACACACCAATCTTCTTACACGGAAGAAATGGAGTAAGATATACAAGACATTCAAACTTGTTCTTAGTATATGGTAGGCCCTCAAAACTGGTACTTATGTTGTAAATGTTTAATGATATTTAACATAAAAAAATTGTGTGTGTGTGTGTCTGTCTGTCTGTCTGTCTGACTGACTGTCTGTGTATGCACGTGGAAGTAAGAGAAAACCTTGCCAGAGTCCATGCTCTTCCACCTCATGGGTCCTGGGAAAGAAACTGAACTCAGGTTTGGTGGCAACTGCCTTTACCAAATGAGCCATCCTCTATTTAACATCTTCATCATTAATTTCATGATTAAAATGGTATGTTCATGCCAATATTTAAAATTTTTTTTGTGCAACAAAATAAGTCAGTGAGTTGTTAACTAAACACAAGCAGTTAATGGTTTTACCGTCATTTGGAAAATGAAAGCGCAGAGTTGGGCAGACAGCTCAGTCAGTACAGTGCTTGCCATACATTATGAAATTCTGAGTTCAGTTGGTGGTGGTAGCGCTTGTAATCATAATCCAAGGAGATGGAGATATAGGAAGATATCCAGGGATCTCAGGCCAGCCAGCCAAGCCTAAATAGCAAGTCCACATCTCTAGGAAGAACCATGCTTCACAGAACAGGGTAGCTCCTGAGGACTATCTGATGCTAACCTCTGGCCTCTCCATGCATGTGCAAAATTGGAGATATATACACACACTTAGCAGCCCCATGAACCACATCTTTAGTGAGGTTATTTAGCAGATAAAACTTGTGTCTACTGATGGTCTGCTCTAATATTCCCTAATATTTTGAGTTAAGCCTTTATACATCATGTTTCAGCTTCAGATGCTCATCCATTTCTTTGAAGCCATTTTGGTTTAAGAAAGCTCTTCCCTTTAAAAAAAGGTCCAAGGCAGTTTTCTACCAAGGATAAGCCATTTGGTTAACATATACGTACACGTTCGGCGTTTGTTCAGTATTCAGTGATAGACAAAAAGAACCCTGAG